ATTGCATCGTTGGCCAACTTGGCTAATAGACTTTCTTGGACCTATCCTCCATGCACTTACCTATTAGAATGTAATGGGCTAACCTGTTAACCGGTTACCCAGTAAGCATTGCTTACTGGCACACGTACCAGGGTAACTGGTTAACTGGCTTGTGGCCTGGCCGGAGAAGTCTCCCACCCGGGGTGCAACGTGGCAGGCCAGTTAACTAGTTAAACATATAGTTTAACATATTAAACACAATTTTATGTCCACATTACTTAGTTCATTTTTGAACCACATTATAGTTTTGGCCTTCACACCTAGGGATGTAGAATCCCATTTAATCAGATAACTGGTTAAATGTGATGTTTGCCAATTAGCCACTTAAACGGGGGGTGAGCAGGCTGAAACGCTCCTGCACTTCCGCCCTGCCGCTGCCACAGGTGGGAGCCGCTCCAGCCACGGCAGGTGGCTCAAATTCAAGTGGCGCAAATTCAGGTGGCCAGTGTAGACAGCTGGCAAGTTTTTGTGCAAAAGCAAGTGCTTTTGGGCAAAATCTTGCCAGTCTAGACGCACCCCATGATTTCATGATCACTTTCACCCAAGCTGCCTTTCAAATTCTCAACTAGTTCCTCCCTATTTGTTAGGATCAAATCTAGAACAGCTTCCCCCCTGGTAGTTTTTTTAACCTTCTGAAATAAAAAGTTGTCTCCAATGCAGTCCAAGAACTTATTGAATAGTCTGTGCCCTGCAGTGTTATTTTCCCAACATATATCTGTATAGTTGAAGTCCCCTATCACCACTAAATCTTGGGCTTTGGATGATTTTGTTAGTTGTTTTAAAAAAGCCTCGTCTACTTCTTCCACCTGGGTAGGTGGCCTGTAGTGGACTCCTAGCATGACATCACCTTTGTTTTTAATCCCTTTTAGCCTAACCCAGAGACTCTCAACACTTCCGTCTCCTATGTCCATCTCAACCTCACTACAAGGGTGTTCATTTTTAATATATGAGGCAACACTTCCTCCCTTTTTCCCCTGTCTATCCTTCCTGAGCAAGCTGTACCCTTCTATAGAAACATTCCAATCATGTGTATTATCCCACCAAGTTTCTGCGATGCCAACAATGTCATAATTGTACTTATTTATTAGCACTTCCAGTTCTTCCTGCTTATTTCCCATACTTCTCGCATTTGTATATAGGCATTTAAGATCCTGATTTGACCTTGCCTCCCAGTTTTGCCCTGACCCTCCTTTCTCTCTGCCATTGTAGCCCATGCTCCCTCCCATTTCTGACCCATCTCCCAGGTCTCCATGTTCTCCACTTACTTGTGGGCTTTGCTCACCTGTCCCCATCGAACCTAGTTTAAAGCCCTCCTCACTAGGTTAGCCATTCTGTGTCCAGATAGGGTCTTCCCCCTCCTCAAAAGGTGGACACCATCCCTGCTTAGCAGTCCTTCCTGGAATAGCATCCCATGGTTGAGGAAGCCAAAGCCTTCTTGGCGACACCATCTTCGCAGCCAGTGAAAAATTTTTAAAAAAGCATTGTTACACAAATATATTTCCACAGTATTTTACGCTGATTAGTAAAGCTGTGTGAATGCAATGAAAGTTGTGCAAGGACTACCCTTATTATGTAACCTTCTGGCATCAGAGACCACGTCAGTGTATTGCCAAATATATTGATTGTTAACCTATTCTCCACTTATTAGAAAACACTCTCTGTTATAAAAGTACTTTTTGTTCAATTAAGATCAGGTTCACTGGACTTATATAATGCTAGAAAACTAACTTGTGAGGAGTGTGCATGAAGGAAATCTTTGTCACTTGAATATTTTCCTCAGGGGACATAGGGCAAAGATTTCTTTTTAATTTAGCAGATTTAATGATATAATGTCACTTTCAGTAATTTTTTCATAGTGTATAAAACAAACTGCCATTTAAAATAATCTAGTTTGTATTAAATCCATGACTGGTTTAGAAACAATGTAAAAAACATTATAGTGGTTATAACTTGTTTATTTAAACACAATTTTCTAATTGGGTCCATCAACACAATGCAATCTCTGTGCTATTATCATCAAGAGATAAATAGTTAAACATGTTGCTGCCTGCTCTACACTGAAGAAAAAAATAAGCAATTGTTCTATGCCGTTTTTTGTGTTCTTACAAAAACATTCAGCTTTGTAGCTTTTGGTTTGAAAAGAGAGACAAGATAGACACTCCCATAGAGCAGTAGGCTGCCTTTCTGCCTTCTGTGCACTAGAGGATTTTGCCGTTGCATGCATCTGTCATACTTGTAACGTATCGTTTGCACACACAGTTGTTTGCAGTTTTGCACAGCATTTGTGAGTTCTACCAGCAGTAGCAATATCAGAAAATACACACCTGCAATTTACTGATAATTTGTTTGTGTGTTTTGCACAGTTGCTACTGTCAGTGGAGCTGCACAGTAATAACTACAATATTACTTGTTCAGGCTCAGCTCACCACTCTTGTATCCTGGATTGGGCACAAAAACTATTAATGCTGAATTTGCATCATTGTAATTGATCCTCCTAATATGGGCCCACAGGGTGTATCTAGACTACAGGGCTTTTTCGAAAAAAGTGGCCTTTTTTCAAAAAAACTTCCCCTGCATCTAGACTGCTGCCGTGTTCTTTTGAAAGTCAATCGAAAGAACGTGGCAATTTTTTCGACCACGGAAAAACTAATTTTACGAGGAAGAATGCCTTTTTCAAAAGTGCTCTTTCGAATGCAAACTGCTTTTTCGAAAGAGAGCATCCAGATAGCGTGGGTGCTCTCCTTTGAAACAGTGGCTTGCTTTTTTGAAAGTACTGATTGTAGTCTAAATGCTCTTTTTCGAAAGAGGCTTGCAGTCTAAACGTAGCCACAGTCTCCTACTGTGCCCATTGACTCTTCCAGTCACTATCTCCTGATTTCCTGATTACTTGTTTGTTTCATGCTTCTGCAGTTTTCAGCATCTGAGCTTTTATAAGGTGAAATGCATGCAATCTTAAAGCTATTTTAGTGGAATAAAAATAGTATGGGATTTGCTTGGAGAGGTGAGAAGTATTCTTTCAGCTCCTCATCTGATGTAAATCAACATAGTTCCATTGACTTAAAGTGAGGCTACACCTGCTATCAGCTGACCTTTTCCCTATAGTCTCACTAAACAAACATAGTATCTTTACTGCTGCAATTGCTTTCAATAATGTAACCATATCTGTGATAGCAGTGTTGTAAACTTCAACACCTACAGGGCATAAATGTTTCACCTGCATGTTATACAGGGCTAGACAACTCTGGTGTGAAAATGCTAGTGCTGGTCTTTGCCGCTACACCATCACCTTGTTGATGTTGGAGCTGTATGAGCATTAAGCCAGTGGTAGGAGAATTATCTGAAATTCCCAGTGTAGACACAGACTCAATTCCCAAAAAGGACAACTAGAAAGCTGACCCTTTAGGGTTTATACATGCATAGGTACTTATGTACTGTATGCTTCTTAATGTCAACTCTGCTTGGTTTTCGCAGGGAGATTCTGCCATCTGTTTCTTTTCTTTATGTTTGTTTTACCTTTTGTTATTTGGTTGTGCACAATGGGGAGTGAATTTAAATATCAAGGCTTTGGTGGAATACCAGCCTACTGTCAAATAATTAAGCATAAAGCTGCAAGATCCTTTGTAAATTTTCTGAAACTGCAACTGCTGGCATTGCAGCCAAAGAAGTGGGCCCAGGTCTATCAGTTTGATCTCTATGTAATCCAAGCCATTTTAAAAATGTGACATCTGACTAAAAGTGCTTCTGTTTCCCCTTAGAGAAGTTACAGTTAACAGTTGATAAAACTAGCTGTTCCTTTTTAAAAGTCTGGTGTGGTTTGTTGTTTTTTAAAATTTCAGGTACTATATCAGTTATGAGACTTTATAGTATGTTGCCATCTAGTGGGGTGTGTGTGTAAATTAAAGGTGATTTAAAAAATGTTATTTTGAAGTGCATTACTAATACAGCTAAAATTCCTTAATAAGAGAACATAGCATGACATTAAAATATTTAAAGTATTCAAAGATAAATCAGATATAAATCAAGTTGAAATTTAAAAACAGTAATCCTTGAAATTTGATTTAAAGGGACACTATCAGTACTCATGGTTCAAAATTTGGTCCAGATTATTTTCTTATTTCTGAGGACTCCTTTTGGTTACAGACAAATAGAAAACCCACTAACCTACTTTTTCCCTTTCTCAAAATCCATATCAGCAATTCAGCAAATGTGTGTAATTCCATAATCACAGACTAGTATACTTACATAATTAAAGTTTGTGGGCACTTTTAGAACAAGCAGATGTATCTTTGTTTAAAATACAGGTTGGACCTCTCTGGACCAGCACCTTTGGGACCTGACCAGTCCTGAATGAAGGAATTTACCAGACAAGAGGAGGCCACCTGCTACCAGCTCCCCAGACCACCTTTCCTCCCCGCTGCTGGCCCCAGCCACCCCCCTGCTGGGCTGCTGCAGCCCTAGCAGCCCGGACTGCCCCAGCCTCGCTACTCCCAGCCAGGACTCCCTGATCGAGGAACACCCATGGCTGTGCCAGACCACAGATGTTACCGGATGAGGGAGTCCCAGTTTTGGGAGGTCCAACCTCTATTTAATGTACATTTTTAATAAGAATATACATATTTTGAAATACCCTTGGAACGCTCAAATTAAACTAAACATAAGAACGCTCAGCCTTTACTTTTAAAACTTTATAATAATTTTACTTGGAATTGATAGTATAACTTGGAGACGTTTGTAAACATTTCAGCCATTTGCTAGAGTCCCAGTTTTGGGAGGTCCAACCTCTATTTAATGTACATTTTTAATAAGAATATACATATTTTGAAATACCCTTGGAACGCTCAAATTAAACTAAACATAAGAACGCTCAGCCTTTACTTTTAAAACTTTATAATAATTTTACTTGGAATTGATAGTATAACTTGGAGACGTTTGTAAACATTTCAGCCATTTGCTAAGAATGAAATAATCATTTTTTGGATAAAGTATTTTAGTAACATAAACTTTTTTTAGGTCACTTCCGGGTACCACAGCAGCTGAATGTGCATCAAATCTTAAGAAGATCTATACAGTACAGACAGTACAGGTAAGATTAAAATAGAACTATAGAAATTGCTACACATGAGAAGTAACACTCAAGGAGTGAGATTATATTGACAGTCATGTGTCAGATGAGTAATTCTCATGCTTTCATCTCTCTGAAGTACAAAAGAAATAAGTATCAGTTGATTATATATGATATTCCTTAGGCTTCCCTAAATACTCATTGGTAATATGTTTAGTTCTTGGATGATTTTTAAGGATTGTAAAGAGGTGAATTGCAGGATAATATGCTTGTTTTTGCCAAATACTCTGTCTTCCTAGAAGATTTCAGAGCCTCAGGCTGTACCTGTAAATTGGATCAAGAAACTTGATTTCCTTTAAGTGTTTGTCTGCCTTTTCTCCAGCTATTTTCAAATGTAATAAACTATTATATGAGCAACAGAGGATATAGTGAAACAGAAGTCTTCCTTTTAGTACCTACTCTGTGAGTAACTTTGTTTCTTGTGAGCTGATTTGTTATGTTAAGGCTTTGTCTCATTTGTCACTTGGAGCAAATGAGAGATTGTGCATAATATCATTCTCTGTTTTCCCTTTTACCTGTCATGTAACTTTGTATCTGCAAAAACACAGTGGCTAACACTTGCACTCTGTATTCTGAATGGAAATAAACTTATTAGGAGAGTAAATACAGTAGTTTTGGAGCAGGCATGAAAAAGCTGTTGATGGGTTTTTCTTACATAATGTTAAAAGTCTGGATTTAATTCACAAAAAGCCAGGACAGTCTCATTTGAGGCTAAACCTCTCTTGTGGAAATTTGAGAAATCTATGAACAGATTATGACTTCAGTTTGATACTGGAAACTCTGTGTATCTGACTGCAAACTCCTATTTGAATGTAGATTGTGTTCACCTTTTCTACTGTCCTTTGCCTACATATAGAAGTAACACCCACAGGATTGGGTAGGAGGAGTATACAGTCTAAACTCACCCAACTCTGAGGTTTTTTTTCTGTCAGGTTTTTTTATTGTTAGGTCTCATGGATTTAAGTAGTGGTATACAACTTTTAGCTGCTGGATAACAAAGTAGCTTTTAGATGGAATTACAGAGAGCCACAAAATCATATTATAATGTTGCAAAGTGTGTTTTGTAAAGTTGCACTAATACATGATTATGATGCACCATAATGATTTAATATCTTTAATATCTTTGCTGCTTTTTTTTAATGTATCTGCTGGGAAAGGGGGATCTCTTTGTTTTCCTCTTGTGCCTACTATCCCCTGCTTTCTTTCCACTCCATCTACTTGGTGTGTTCGGATCTCCCCAATCTTGCATTCCCATGGTATGGTATATTTTATTATAAGCAGTACTGTTTTTGCCTGCTGTCCAGACAAAATAAGTAGATCACCAACGAGGCGTGATGTTCGCAAGAGTTGTAATGTAATCTTGAGATACAAAATACCACATTGAGTGGTGTGATCTAAATCTCTAAACAGAAGAGCTAGAGGGTTACAGTTTCATGGTGTTGAACTAGTTAGTAAAAAGTGTTTGTCTCTTTTTAAAAAGCATGCTAAGAAAGTTTTATTCAAACTTCTCCAGTACTCCTTGCTCTCCACTTTCACCATCACAGAAACATGCATTTGCTAAGGAACAGCAGCTTCCTACTTGGCGTAGTTTTAGTGACTTATCATTAAAAATATTACCTCTCCTGAATTATGTTCTCTTTAACAAAAAGCTAAAAGTGAAATTGTGACAAGAGCTTTAATTTGGAAGAACCCAAATACATCACAAGGATAAATGATAGCCAAGAGCGGTAGATTTGTAAACATTTTGGTAGTGCCCAGAAGGCTGAGAGCTCACATCCCTCCACCCACTTGCCTAGGGCTCTATGAGGGAGTTTGGGTGGGGGAGGGTTGCAGGTTCTGGGTCAGGCTTTGAGAGGGAATGTGGGCATGGGAGAGAGTGTAGGGTGCAGGCTCTGGGCTGGGTGCTGGGTGCAGGCTCTGGGCAGGGGCAAGGAGTGGCGTTGCAGCAGGGGATTAGGAGGGCATGCTCTGGGGGAAAGGGAGTAAGCTTGTGAGAGGAATGTGATGGGTATGTGAGGGGTGAAGGGTGCGAGGTGTGGTACTTATCTGGGGCTCTATTGGCAACAGTTTCCAGGTGGGTGAGGGTCTAGGTGTCTCTGGTTGCTGCTTCCCTCAGCACTATTCCCACCTCTCCCATTGGCCACAGGGCACTCAGGTCAGGAGCAGCAGACAGGCACACACGCCCCCTTGCCCAGGGGCCGCAGGAATGTGCTGGTAGCCACACAGAGCAGAAGGACAGAAGCTGCTCTAGCCTCACTGTGCTGCCAGTGGTGGTGGCAGGGACCTCCTGGCCCTTTTAAATCACCTGGGGACAGCAACCACCTGGGGGAAAGATCCGGCCCCGAACTTTGCTGGAGCAGGGCACTTGTCCCAAAAATATTCCTGGAGCCTGAGCACCAAGATCCCATAAAACTAACTGCCTTGATGACAGCTTTTTGTGAGCAAGAATCTTCACAATTTTATGAAGCATAAACAGAGCAAGTAAGTTTGTATATAGTTCGCTGTCATACATGAAATGATACTAGAAGCTTTTTTTTCTTTACAGATTTTCTGGAGTGTCTATAATAATATTCCTCCTGTGACAAATTTGCCTCTGAGATGCAGTTACCATTTAATGCGGGGAGAAAGACGGCCCCTTTGGTAAGTATCTTATCATTATAAACTCCTGGGGATAAAGACACTTCTGTCATTATATAAATAGTAAATTATTGGTTAATGGAAGGAGGAAAGAGTTGCATGTCTGTACTGTTCTGCCATTAATTAGTTTGTGATAAGTGACTTTTATACATCACCAAAGATCTTGTTCAGCTTAAAAGCTAATTATTTGAAATTGAGCATTTATTAAAACTTAGCGTTGGGAAATATGTGCTACAAATTAATTGTCTAGATTTGATTATCCATGTGAATGATAAGAAATCCTGAATTGAACGTGCGTCTTGATTAAAGTCAAGAATATGAAGAAAAAACTTTACAGTATAGTAAACATTTATTTTGATTAATAGTATTTGAATTATTTTTTTAATTTACTGACTTTTATTTTCTCTCCAGACAAAATAGTGGCATGCTAATGCGTGTGATAAATACTCATTGGTAATACTCTCTGTGCCAAGAATCTCCATATATGCACAAGTATATACATATCTGTAGACATACACACATTCATATAGGCTTACATCAGAAAAAACAATCATGTTTTGTAACAGTACATTGCAGCTCATTCCAGTTTGATAACCTATTGTTCATAGAATGGAAACTCAGAACTATAAGCCATCTTTTTTTTTTATAAACTGAGTTTAATTTCTCTTCCATTTACATTGTTCATGGACATTTTGGTGAGCTAGATTAGGAACCTTCTGAGTACACCTGCTATGTTTTTGTATGTTTTCTTATTAGTGTGTCTTGTGATCAAATTACATTTCTTTATATGTTAACATTAGACCATAAAATGTTTTGCTGAATGTCAGCTAACTACTTTAGGTTCAGGTGACTAACAAGTAAGTACTCTTTAAGTATCTTTTAAAAGATATTACTGCTCTGTAGGTTAAATTGGTTTTAAGTAAATGTCAACACTGAGATATGTATACACCAGTCTTAGTATCTTCACTGATGGTGTCAAAGGATAAGTGAGAGAACTTTTTGTGTGTGTTCTTCTCTATTTTTAGTTTTGATTTGGTCAGTGCTTTTGAGGGCGGTGCACTTCAAAGACCTCTGAAGATGATGCAGGTCTATTTTAAAACTCCTCAGTCAAAGAAATTCAGTGTGCTGTATTTAAGGAAAGGAATGTGCAATGTTGGTTTCATCACTAAGTCACTTGTCTTAGTGATTATTAATAAATTGTTGCACAGGAAGCCAGGATCTTGTTGAGATTCTCAGATTAGCTAGGGTTTAAAGGGTGTTTTTGGCTAATTACGGCCATGTTTTTATAAACATAATCTGTTTTTATTGGTGTTTAAAAATGTGCTGTCCTTGATCTATCTTCTTCCACAACATTGCCTCCCACCTACCATTTATGGGAGCTCATTGAGGCTGGGGAATTTTTAGAGGCAGCAAACAGTTTTCAGAAGTTCAGACATCGTACATTGAACCTATTAGCGTACACCTTTTAAAAAACTGGTTCTTAAACTTTTTATTTGGTGGAGCCATGAGTGAAAAGAAAACACTATTTACACATTAACTGCAACAGACTGCATTGGAAAAGGCTGTATATAAAAGCATTATGAAGAATGATTTCAGAGTGGTATTACCCTTAACTCCTTAACTCCAGATCATTTGATTTTTTGGAAGGATAATTAATTCCCAGTGATTGTAGAACTTAACTGAAATATGTACAGGCTTCTGTGTTCCTTTGCAAGAACCTCAGAAGAAATGAGCTGCTGACATATGAGGTTACTGCAATAAGCCATGTCATGTTTTGTGGACAGGTGCTCTCTGAGAATTTGCTGCCATTTCAAAGATGCCCTGTGATCATGGAAAAGAGAATTAACACAAATAACATAGGAGAGAGACTGTATGTCAACTAGGGATGTTAGAGTGTAGTCGTTTACACAATTAACCGATAACCCCAGGCTTACCAGTTAATCCTAATGACTACATACACAGCCCACCCCCCTTTGCTGCCTCTGTATCAGAGGCAACAACAGCAGGGGAGGAGGGGGAATCAGAAACTGGTGCCCATGGGGAGCCAGCTTTTAAGCTGGCTCCCAGTTTGTGCTGACTCCTGCAGAGCTGCCTGACCCCTCTTTCCCCATGCTGCTGCCTCTGATAGAGAGGCAGCAACATAGGAGGTAGGGACAGGTGGGAGCCAGTACAAGTGGGAAGTGGCGTTCAAGCTTGTTCCCGTGTGTATAGGCTCCCATGGAGCCGCCTCCCCCTTGCACTGCTGCCTCTCCCATCTGTCCTCCCACATGTAAATGTATAACCCGCTAAAAAATTCAACGGTTATATGTTTACACAAATACATGTTAGTTAACATCTCTAATATTGACAGGTGTGCTTCACATGAACAGTGAATGATTTCTCTCTGCTGTCAGCCTTGTTACCAAGATTTAGTACTTACATTTCAAATGGAATCTTCCTGGAAAATTAACCCCATCAATAAATTTAAATTTGTATCATACTATGAAAAGTACACTGTATGCAACTTACCTACCTGTGGATTTGAATGTTTTGTTTTCTTTGATATATTTCCCTCAACCAGGGAAGAGGAAAGCAATGCCAAAGGAGGTGTATGGAAAATGAAGGTCCCCAAAGAAAGTACAGTATGTAATGTCAATTTCTATCTGGAAATGACTGATCAGGGTTTCGGCTTAATCTTCACATATAAAATGATGACATTTTTCTTTATAAAAATTCCTTTTGTGAAGTTCTTAGTTTGGTTGTTGAACTGTGTTGCATGATGTCAGTACACCATTATAAAGTCTAACACCTTTTATTTTAAGAAAATGAGAAAATGTGTTGCAGCAGATAAATCAGTACTTGACTTTTTGCTCATAACATTTATGTGACAATATTTAAACAAAAGCTATAGGTAAATATTTCATACAGCATCTCTATTTGGCTGGCATAGTATTTGGTAAATTTTAACTTCCCTCTCAAGACTTGCTTTATTCACTTACAGATACACAAGATAAAATATAATAATGGTCACTGTGATTGAAAATTAATAGTTAATTATAGCTGGAGCAGCAATGATGTTCTCCAAGAACCTGTCCTCAATTCAGAGCTAACCAGTCCTACAAAACTCACATGTGAGTAGCCCCATTGAAGGGAACTCAATAGAACTAGTCATGCACAACAATATTAATTTTCATTAAGTGTTTTAGGAGTAGGGCCGAAATCAAAGGTGTGGAACCTTTTTTCCTATCAGGAGCCACTGACCTCTAGAAAAAAATCAGTCTAGGGTCACCCACAGCCCGCAGGGAGGCGGGGAGCAGGCAGAGGGTTAGGGCTTTCCTTAGGCTCTGGCATGGTGCCAAAAAGGAGGGGTTCAGGATGTAGGAGGGGGCTCAAGCCTGGAGCAGATTATTGGGGTGAGGACTCTGGGGTGGGTCTGAGGATAAGGGGTTTGGTGTGTAGGAGGGGGCTTTCGGCTGGGGTTGTGGGATTTGGACTGCAGGAATGGGCTCAGGACTGGGGATTTGAGTTGGGAATGCAGGGTCTGAGCAGGAATTAGGGTACGGGAGCAGGCTCAGGATAGGGACAAAGGGTGGGAGTGTAGGCTTTGAGAGCAAGTTTGGATTCAGGCGGGGCTTAGAACTGGGGCAGAAGGTTGGGTTGTGGGAGGGAGTTTAGCTCTAGGGTGGGGCAGGGGTTGAGGTGCAGGAGGGGGCACAGGGCACTTACCTCAGGCAGCTCCCAATCTGTAGCACAGTGGAGTTAATGCAGGCTCCCTGCCTGCCCTGGCCCCATGCTGCTCCCAGAAGCAACCAGGGGTGGGGGGGCCAGTGGTTCCATGTGCTGCATTCGCCTGCAGGCGCTGCCCCCACAGTTTCATTGGCTGTGGTTCCTGACCAGTAGGAGTTGCAGGGGCAGTGCCTGCAGGGAGGGACAGCACATGGAGCTTCCCTGATAACCACAAGCAGCTCACAGCTCCAGCCCAGCTCCCCACTGGGACTCCCCCATAGTCTCCCCTCCCCCGCGCTGCTGCCTCTAATAGATCACACTGTGCCTGTCACTAGCTAGAAATGTTCTTCACTGCCGTAAGTTCTAAAATGTACTGCATAATAACAGTTTAAAAGGGTGGAAAATCACTCCAACAATTTCTGTTTCAGCATTGCTGAAATACCTTTTGCTTTCTATGTGTAGAAGGTTAGGGCCCTATTTTGCACGAACACGTATAATTTCTCATATGAGTTGTCCCTGTGAAAATAGGGGAATCAGCCTGAGATTCAAGCCCATAGGAGCAGCTGCAGAAGCCTGCAAAGCAGGGACCTTTGGACAGTCTGTGACCTTTCAGTTCCCTGTGCTGATTGGCTGTTTGCTCCAGCCTTCATTCCACTGATGTCTTCACCTCAGCTTCACTCCATACCTGATCCCCTACCCTCTCCTCACTTCTTCATTGTCACCTTTCCCTTCATTTTTCCCCACTTAACTGGTCCCCTTTTAATTCCAGCCAAAAATATAATTATAGAATTGGCATGATGTTTGCTGACTCGCAGCTCCATAGTGGATTAGAATGTTCAGAAACAAAGTGAAATTTTGCTTGGCTCATCGTATTTGTGCTTTTTGGATTTAACTTTATTTTGTTTTAATTTCTTAACCATTTTAATAGTACCTAAAAATACAACTATATTGAAAAAGTGAGGCCATGGTTTGTTCCAAGCAGTATATACAAAAGTCATTATGGCTGTATAGAAAAACATAGATGTTGCCATATGGTCCAGAAATATGATTATTTCCCTGTAAGCACACATGTTGGAGTATGTTATTGAACGTATTAGCCCAGAGTTGCTTATGAATTATCAACATCAGGGTTCCAAGTTTTGAATTCTCCTTTGGCTTACATAGTAACAAATGTCAAAAATGTCAAAAAGGAAATAACAGTATCATCAGACTAACATAACCAAAGACAACTGTGTGATAGACTTATTTCCTGTTTTAATTATCTAGTTATCATTTGAATTTGTTGAAAAAAAAATTTCATAGTCAAAAGGAAAATCAAGACATGATATTTAAATACAAATTTTCTAGTACAGGTTGGCTCTTAAAATGAACGGTACTTATTTTTTGATAGAACAAGTGGTCACAAATGCCATTTAGTGATCTTTTATATTGCATAAGCAGGAGGAATACTTCAGAGAAATCTACATTTGTACTTTACATTAGCCTACTTAGGTCAGGTTCCAGACACGAATTTAAGGAAAGTAAATTTATGCTTAAACATTTATTAGAAGAATTTCAAGTTATGCTACAATACGCCAACATTTTTATGGCTGACCTGGAACAACGCTTCCTCAGCTCTCGTCCACTTACACCCCTTCTCTACCTACGCTACATCGATGACATCTTCATCATCTGGACCCATGGGAAGGAGACTCTGGAAGAATTTCACCATGATTTCAACAGCTTCCACCCCACCATCAACCTCAGCATGGACCAATCTACACGGGAGGTCCATTTCCTGGACACCACGATACAAATAAGTGACGGTCATATCAATACCACCCTATACAGAAAACCTACCGACCGCTATACTTACCTGCATGCCTCCAGTTTCCATCCCGGACACACCACACGATCCATTGTTTACAGCCAAGCACTGAGGTACAACCGCATATGCTCCAACCCCTCAGACAGAGACCTACACCTACAAGACCTTCAACAAGCATTCTGTAAACTGCGATACCCACACGAGGAAGTGAGGAGACAGATTGACAGAGCCAGACGTGTACCCAGAAGCCTCCTGCTACGGGACAAGCCCAAGAAAGAAACCAACAGAACACCACTGGCCATCACCTATAGTCCCCAGCTAAAACCTCTCCAACGCATCATTAGTGATCTTCAGCCCATCCTGGACAATGATCCCTCGCTCTCACAGGCCTTGGGAGGTAGGCCGGTCCTTGCCCACAGACAACCCGCCAACCTGAAGCATATTCTCACCAGCAACTACACACCGCACCATAATAACTCGAACTCAGGAACCAATCCTTGCAACAAACCTCGGTGCCAACTCTGCCCACATATATACACCAGCAACACCATCACAGGACCTAACCAGATCAGCCATACTGTCACTGGTACATTCTCCTGCACATCCACCAACGTAATATATGCCATCATGTGCCAACAATGCCCCACTGCTATATACATCGGCCAAACAGGACAGTCCCTACGTAAAAGAATCAATGGACACAAATCTGATATTAGGAATGGCAACATACAAAAACCTGTAGGGGAACACTTCAATCTTCCTGGACACACAATTGCAGATCTAAAAGTAGCTATCCTGCAGCAAAAAAACTTCAGGACCAGACTTCAAAGAGAAACTGCTGAGCTACAGTTCATCTTTAAGTTTGACACAATCAACTCTGGATTAAACAAAGACTGTGAATGGCTTGCTAACTACAAAAGCAGCTTCTATTCTCTTGGAATTCACACCTCCAGATCAGCTGCTAGAAGTGGGCCTCATCCTCCTTGATTGGATCCACCTGGTCATCTCCAGCCTGATCCTGGCCTGCATATTTATTCCTGCCTCTGGAAATTTCCACTACATGCATCTGACGAAGTGGGTCTTTGCCCACGAAAGCTTATGCTCCTACACTTCAGTTAGTCTATAAGGTGCCACAGGACTCCTCGTCGCTTTTGCAGATTCAGACTAACACGGCTACCCCTAGGATTGATTGTATTAGCAGCCTTACTGGGCCCGGCTCTGCTGTGACCACGTTTGGCTCATGCTGTGCTTTATTAATTAATAAAGCTGTTTGTTAGCTGCCTAAACACAGAGGAGCGTGTTTTTGCTTCGACACTACTTATTATAAGTATTATAAATTCTTGCCCCAACTCTTTGTGGAAGAAAGGAATAGTGTAACATAAGATGCACTTATAACACACAACTTCAGAAACTGCACTCAAGACTGAACAAGAAAACCTAACATGTACGTGGAAAGATCCTAGAATGGTAACTGATTTTTTTCTTCTTAGTCTGCGGTTTGGAAAGAGTTACTGCTGGCAACTATTGGGGAACAGTTTACAGATTGCTCTACAGCAGGTAAAGAGATCTTGTTTTTACAGTGCTTTCTGTGTATTTATTTAGATTTATTTTAAGCCCCTGTTCCAAGCACTAGGTTCTTGTTCTAAAAAAAACTTCTGACACTTAAAACTTGTGTGTCAGAATATTAGCATACCTGTTCTCTCTGTCAAGGGCACAGGTCAAAGAGACAAACAGGGTTTCCTGGCTTGTTATGTGGGATAGAGTTAGCTCTAGATCAAGGTTCTTAACGTTTTTCTTTCTGAGCCCCCTCCCCCAACGTGCTATAAAAATTCCAGGGCCCAATGGGTGGGAAATACGAGGACTTTGGGCTTCAGCTGTAGAGATGGGAGAAGATCATGGGGCTGAGGGTTTGGGGCTTCTGTCCCAGAGGCTGAAACTTCCCTTCCCACCTCGCTGAGAACTTCTGTTTGATATGATTGTTCTACCTGCCTCCAATGGCCCAGCTTGAATCCCTAGGAGAATGCCAAGTGTTCTACAGGTAAAATATCTGTATATCAGCAGTGTTGTAATGGCTTAATGCTAATTCCATAGTGCTAGGATTCTGGACGTCTCAGCACGAGTCCATTTGCTTGTTATGGGGTGTTTTGTACCATTACTGCTGTGAATCTATCTTGGGCATTATATGTCCCCCATTACTGCAATACCTGTATATCCCACAATCTTCAGTGTATTTATCTTTGCAGCACTTTGTGGGATGAAGAAGTACTGTTTTCCAATTTAACAGTTAGGAAATGGAGACACAGATAGGTTAAATGATTTGCCCAGGGTCACAAAGGTATTCTGTAACAGAACTGAGAATGAATTGGAATCTGCTGAATGATCACAGTGGACCTGCAGTGGACCACCCTTCTTCTCATTTAATTATACCACTTGAATCACATTAGTTGTTAGTGTTAATTTTACACAAAATGTACTTGAAATATGTCGCCTGTTAAGTGGAACCACTAAATTCAGAAACACAATAGGTGATATTGTTTAGATGCAATAATTTAATGACAGTATTTTTCAGCAAGGGTTTGTTGAGGTAGTATGATAGGTATCTACTTCTCTGATTAATTTCCATGCGTTTTAGCAGCCTAGGAAACAGAAACAGATGCCCCTCATCTTTTCACAATAAAAAACATTAAATCTGTCCCTGCTCATTCCTCCTTATGGAGAGTTGAACTGACGTCAGGAAGTAAAAAAGCATGTGTGCCCTGTACACTTAATTGTCTATGCAGAATTCTGTTCCAATCTCAGTGATTCAGCAGTAGACAACAGACTCCTGGATACTTGTAGCAACAGTGTGAAACTCACTATAGTCTTGTTAATTTCATTCTGCTGCTTGAGAAAACAGTAGCAACTAGGGATATTAAAAAGCTTTTGTGAAAATGTCAGCAGTGACATGTTTACATGCAGGGGAGTTGCATGGGAGAGTGGGGGGAGGCAACTCCACAGGAGCCATTGCACACAAGGAGTTGGCATAAAAGCTGGCTCCCTGCACACATCAGCTCCCACCTGTCCCCCGTGCACATTAACTGATGAGCCCATGCTTATCTGTTAACCATGTAAACTGTAACACTCTCACACCCCTAGTAGCAGCCCAGTAATAAAGCTAAACATTCTGGAGAGATTACTGTTTGTCTCCTTCACACTTCGAAAAATAAAATTTCACTCAGAATGGTGACAGATTTCCCAGTCCCTCAGTTCCTTATATTACCATAACACAGAATTAAAGCCATAGCTATCAATTGTGTATGAACTGCCAATTCGCTTCAAGGCACTATTTACAACAACTGCTGCAACTAAACACACACACGGTTTCTATTCTGGTATTCTCATTCTAGACTGCCCTGTTTCGTTTACAACAACTGCTGCAACTAAACACACACATGGTTTCTATTCTGGTATTCTCCTCATTCTAGACTGCCCTGTTTCATTTCTTCATGTTTGTTTTGTTTTTGTACAAAATGTTCCACAATAGCATAACTAGCCTGTATAGACTCGTCTCCCTTTTAAAGAATGGATTATTTCTTCAACACTTCTTCCTCTACACAGATGACGAAGTAATAGGGGTTAGTGTCAGTGTTCGTGACCGTGAAGATGTTGTTCAAGTCTGGAATGTGAATGCATCTTTAGCAAGTGAAGCAACTGTTTTAGAAAAGATCTATGAACTTCTGCCACACACGTCCTTTAAAGCAGTGTTTTATAAGCGTAAGTATCTTGTCAATTTATTTCCTCCTACCAGGATTTCCAGTTTTATAGAGAGGGTGATCATAGATGAGCTGTATGCTTTAGGATAACCTTGTTAAGTGACTGACTGAACCTTTAGCATTCAGAAATGTAGTATCATAGCATAAGAATTTTTACTTTCTAACTATTGGAGCTTTTTTCTCTGTACAAAATAGTGCAGGTGTTTTTCATAGTTAGGTGTTAACAAACTGGTTTGTGAGATTCACAAAGCTATATTGCCTGCAGATGAAATAATAAAAGAACTCATTGTTCATTAATGAGTTTATTGGTATTGTAGCAGTACAATAAAGATCTGGGGGGGTTCCACTGGGCTAAGCTCTATATAAACACACTAGTAAAAATGGTTGTTGTCTTTTCCTGTCCCTCCTGACCACTCACCTTTATTATTGATTTTTCCTGTTGTTTTCATCTTAATTTAGACTAAAATTAAGGTCAGGCAGGGACTCTGGGTGAAATTCTTGTCTTTGTTGAAGTTAGTGGAGCCAGGATTTCAGCCTCTGTCTTTGCTTCTTTAATTCAAAGTGTACATGAAGGTGCTGGACTGAGAAGAACAGAATAGGGGAATCCTCCAGGGATCTGAGCCAAAGCCCATAGAAGTCAATGGGTGTTTTTTGGATTAAGCGGCAGCGCAAAATCTGAAATTTACTCAGGACTTGACATAGCAGCTTGAATCCATTGAAGTAAGGCTTGCAGGGTTAGGACCATAAGTACAGTAATGCTAGATCTTGTATTATGCCTTAAATGTACAGGCATTTGCAACAAAAAGGTTTATTTAGAGTGAAGTTAATTCTGAAAGTAGTGGTAATTTTTTATTCTATTGAATGCCTTCACTAAAACATACTGTTTCTTGCTAACAGTAGGAGAATCCATAGGAATATTTTTATCCATCAAAATATACCTCCGTCCCCAAATCTCCATCCCTTAGCATTGTTTTTACTTAGTTCTTGTTCATATAATTAATTTAAAAGTTGATTTTTCTTCTCTCTCCCCACCCCACTTAGCCCACAGAGAGCATCATGCTTTTGAAGGTAGACGTGGAAAACATTAATAATTCCCTGCACAAAACTCATACTTTGTAGCCTAAGTTTTGGACATGGCCTGAGCAGAGAGATGGAGGAGCAGAAGCCTTGCAGAAGCACCACATCTGCTTGTCATTTTCAGTTTGTTTCTAATGCTTTCAAATTGAGCCATTATCACTCAAAATGAGGAAGGTGGTTGCCTTTATTACTAAACATGGTGCTCCTTACTTTTTAGGCTTTCTACATTCTCTGTTTAGTTTCCTTGTTGGAAAAAATAATTAGCCATTTGTTTTTCTTTTATTCAGACTGAATTTGTATTTCTTTTGTTAAACATAGAAGACTCTTTTAAAGTAGGTGTACTGTACTTAGTAAAATGCAAAGATGCACAAACATGATATGCTGCTTTTTCTAGATTTGCTGTACATAGAAGAATACTTGCTTGGTGAAACATGTGTTTTCAATTTTTGTTTTGAAACATTCCTATCATGTTAAGATTTACTCACTGTCTTTGTCCCAAGAGAGAGAAATTGCACTGCATTATTCTAATATAAAGTCATCTGGTCTTGCACTGAGAATAGCACACATACTGTAAAAATAAATAATAATCACTGAATGAGACCCTCCAAACAAAGAACACATTTGTATTGGGACGGACTTAAATTCTGTGAGTTGTTGTAAACCAGTGTTTCATTTATGCAGTCTCAAAACAACACATTCAGCAGAAAATGAGAGATCTTTCAATAAGTGGTAGTTTTGTATGCTTTCTTGTGAAGCTTTTTGGTGCACTCATTACAAAAATATTTCCCAACTCAATTCTAGCACATTTTACTAAATGGATCCTTCCCTCTCCTTGTTTTAATCATATTGGGCTTCTGCCCATACCCATGAAGATTAGTACCAAACTCCTGTTGGCTTCTGTACAAGAAGATAGCCCCCATCATATTTAGTTTCAAGTAGTGGCAGCATCTTCAGTGAGGTAGGTTTTAGTTTAGAAAAATGAAGTTAATATTTTACGGCATGACTCTGAATATTTACAGTGTTAACCTCCCAGTGTGTTTTGTCTCTATTGAAAATTGGAGGGTTCACTATGCTTTATTATAGTACCAAAGATTTATTGAGTTAGTTCTTTTTACTAAAGGAAGCTACAAAGTAGAAATGAATGTATACTCCACTGAGTATTCCGGGGTTGATGTGTTTTTTGGACAGTGTTCAGATTGCACTGATTTTCACATATTTAGTATATTAAGAGGGCAACCATTGGAATGAAATACATTTATGAATTAAAATTCCCTTTTCATTTTTTACAACTTCATCTGTATTTATGAATTATAATTGTGCAGTTTGTGAGGATTATTAATTAAACAAATTTTTCTAAAATCAAATGACTTGCTTCAATAATTGCTTTCTGAAATTGTGTTACTAGAACTGCTTTCTTAAACCTAGATATGTTTGGATGAAAATTAGTCTGCAAGAAACTTATATATGTAATCCTGAATATATATAAAAATATTTATTTTTAAAAATTCAAATATATTTTTGTTAAGGTGTGAAGAAAGGGCATATTTGATTCATCTTTATTAGAACTGCCTTTTGTGCGTTTTCAGTAGCAAATCTGATTTAGGATTTATTTTTATTTTGAAAGACTTCCATTTCTTTATGTGTCATATTAAAGTTTACATGTAGTTTGATGTTCTGAAATAAAAGCAGAGAGACTTTATGCTCATCTTAATGACTTGATATTTTACAGTTAACATTGTTTCAGTGTCACAGAGCATGAAATTTACTAGTTATTGTTGGTTGTCTAAATGAGCTTTAAAACCTGTGCTATTCTAAAGTCTAGTCACAAATTGCAAGGATTTCCTTTCATTATTTTAAATTAGGAACATAGCCTCCCTTGGTTACCCCAGAAAAATTTATTTCAGAAATTTTAAAATTAAATATTTAACTTAGAATAGACTACAAACTAAAGAAGCTGTTATTTCTAAAATTTCTTGATAACACACTAACTATAAAAAGGAGAATGTCTAGTAGAAATGTAAAGATATACTTTATGTCCCTGGTGACCTGCATCTTGCTTATTTTCTTAGGCCTAGATTCAGCAAAACACTTCGCTTAACTGCCTTACTGAATAGGGATTGATTTATTCACATGCTTATAGGGCCTTGTGCTATACTACAAGGCCTATGCTACGAGAGGGAACAGTGTTCTCTTTTTCCCCCAAGAAATGAATAGTATCAGGACCCAGAAAGCCCAGAGCTCTTGATTCTGCACAAGCTGATGAATGTAGATTTGCAAAACGTGGATAACCAAAAAAAAACAAAACAAAACCCTCTAGCTCTACATTGTGGAGTTGCAAATCAGTTTCAGGCCTTGTCTAGATTACCAAGGGCCATCAACCTAGATTACACAACTTCACGTAGCTGAAGTTCATGTATTTAGGTCTGCTTACTGCATTATCGGCACCACTGTTAAGTCAACAGCTGACGCTCCCTTGTCAACTCTGTTTACTCTTCTCATTTTGGTGGAGTACCGAAGTCAATGGAGAGCACTTGGTGATCACAATTTATCGCATCTTTACTGTCCAAGTGTCCAGATTGCACAGGATTATGAAGTTAGTGAAGGTATTTGTTTTACAATGTTTAATCCTCAACATCTGCTAGTTGTGAGTTTGCACTAAGTGCTAGCAGCAAACGCAAGGAGATCCCACTGGCTCTCTGGAACCTCAGAATATGGTGTGGTCGGGGAGTGGAGAATTTGGCTCCAGGCACACAAATGGTTTGTTTAGTTTCTGTTAAGGAGTTCTGTCAATTCCAGCTTCCAGAGTGCAGGTCACCTGTGTAGCTCCCTGGGGAGGACTGTTTTTGCAGTTTCTGGGTCAAGGAAAATGCACTGGCTGGCACCTCTTCCTGATCCTACATGGGACAATGAGTACTTTCTCACAAAAGAACCATTCATTTTGAGACGGTCTGGGAACCAGCTTGGGGTGGGCGCAGGCAACCAAGGAAATTGCTGGTGCGCCCTTGTGGCAGATGCCAAGTGCAGGTACTCCATAAGGAAAGCATGCAAGGAACAGATAAATGGCCTGGTAAAGGACTTAAAAGGAGGCACTGGCTAAAGGAACAGCACAGGGGAGGGGATTGGGGATTTGGGGATTCCTTTGGTATGACAGGCAGCCAAAATCTTCCCCCTTCTCATAGCCCACCTTAACCCTCCTATGAGTGTGGTGGATGTTATAGTCCCAGACATGGGTTGGCTGGGGGACCTGGATGGAAATCAAAGGCCGCTGGCAGAGCGCCAAATAATGATTTAAAGAAACATGGATTGACCTGCACTGTACAGTTCATCGGCTGGGTAGTCCCAGACATCTGTATAATAAAGCTGTGGCCTGATTAAAACTCATATCGCGTGTCTCCTGTCTTTCTTTCAGTGTACCCCGACCATTAGTGTTTGCAAAATTGGATACTGTCAGCCTAGCACAATGCTTCTTAGGGAATTGCATTCAGTCTCTAAACTAGCATGAGTTGAAAGCTATGCGGAAGTTAGACATTCAGCTCTCCTGCAAATATATCTTTTGTTTATGTAGCATAGCTAAATATTGTCCATAGGGAGGAAGTGGGTATACTACTTCCTGTTTTTACTAATTAGAATGGGCTTAATCATTTACTGTGAATTTCCATGGGTTTTTTTATATTTGAGAGAGACGATATCTTTTTCACTTTCATTCTATACATTTATTTCTGATTTTAAAATACTTACATAGAACTTCCACAGGTTAACTTTGGTTCCAGGACTGAAATTAATAAGGATCTTTTTTACAATTCAGTGTTTAGACTACAATTCAGTAAATTGCATGTCTATAAAAGAAAATTGGATCAAAATCCATAATGCAGGTCCCCAAGACAGCACTGCTCTTTTTTTCATACATATTTTAATGCTTTCCCATACTGGGGATATCTACACTAGAAACATACATTGACCTGTGTTAGGTTGACTTACAGTTACCACAGAAGATACTGCGGTGATTGGTGTCCACACTACTCTTCTCCTATTGACAGTGCATGTCCTCACCGTGAGCACGCCCACCGACTTGAGGGGCAGCATGGGGGGTAGAAAAGGGGGTCTCTTGGTTCCTCACTTAGACCCCTTTGGGAGCCCATCTGCTCAGAGTCACTGGAACAGAGCAGGGAGGTCAAGGGGCCATGGCCTCTTTGCTTTTTACCATTCTTAGGGGTGAGCAACAGGAGGGAAAGGCAGGGGCTGGAGGGAGTTGGAGAATAAGGAGCCATGCAGAGGGTGGGGCCACAGTTCTGGGGAGCTATTGCCATTCTCTTGGATACCCACCACCATGAGCCCATCTGCCCCATCTTCTTGACTCCCCATCACCAGAAGTCTGGCACCCTGATGCAGGACGCTTGCGCCCCTCCTCCCCAGTCTTCACTGGGAGCCTGGCTGCCTGCCCTGTCCCCACCAGACTCTCAGCTGCCTGGCGTCAGGAGTCCGCCTGCTTTCTGGGGCAGGGAACTCTGTGCCCATGGGGAGCTGTGCCCATGGGGAGGTGTACCGGTAGTTCGGAATAGGAATCCTAGTCCGAACTACCTAGTTCGAGCCCCGTGTAGCCGCGCTGCACGGGGTTCGAACCAGCGGGGTTTTAAAAATGGCGGCTCCCCGCTTATGCAAATGAAGCCCGGGAAATTCAAATCCCGGGCTTCATTTGCAAGTGCGGTATGCCTACATTACCCCGCTAGTTCGAACTAGGAGGATAGTGTAGACATACCCTAAGGTAGTGTCCATCCAGAAGCTGCGTCACCCTAACTGTGCCATAAACCCTGCACCTCTCATGGAGTGGGAGTTAATTTGTCTGTGTAGTAGGGCACTTACTAGAGCACACTTTTTCACTAGCCCCAATTAATGAAACTCCACTCCTGCACAGGATGGATGTGAAAGAATGACAGCTCCTGAAGGGCTCCGTGAAAGTATGGCTTTTTCCCGTTGCTAGGTATTCACCGCAGAACAGCCTTATTTTCAAGAGGAGAAAATTAGTTGAAAAACAGTTCGTTTCTTCGTCATCTCCTTTTAATTCTTCATCCAAGGATGGGGGTCACGAGGAAATTCAATTTTAAAAATAGCAGGAGATCCCTTGTTTTGATTTTAAAAAGAAGCTCCGGTCTTAATAGCACTTTAACTCTGACTGGTCTCCTAACTTCCTAGTTTGACACACTTAACAAAGGATGTATTACACCAGAACTCCTAGACCACTCAAGACAAATTAGTATGCTGGGCGGTGGGGAAATGAGATAAGCTGCCTGTACGTACGTTTTCAATAAACAAGACCTCTCCTTCTAGTTGGGCTGCATAGCTGTTCAGCTTTGCTGAAGGGAAGGTACATATGGATTGGAAATGTTTGGGGGCAGGGACCATCTTTCTGCCTATCAGAGAGGGTTTCTGGTCAGCAGCCAGGGCCCCTAAGTGCTACCACACAGATAATACAGTGTTTTCATTGTCCTGTAAGCACAGAAATGTTACTTGGATAAGGATTTGGAGAGCTTGCCCAAATCAGGCACCTGGGCTGTGTCTAGACTGGCAAGTTTTTCCGCAAAATCATCTGCTTTCGTGGAAAAACTTGCCAGCTGTCTACACTGGCGGCTTGAATTTCCGCAAGAACACTGACGATCTCATGTAAGATCGTCAGTGTTCTTGCAGAAATACTATGCTGCTCCCGTTCGGGCAAAAGCCCTCTTGCGCAAATGATTTGCGCAAGAGGGCCAGTGTAGACAGCACAGTACTGTTTTGCGCAAAAAAGTCCCGATGGCTAAAATGGCGATCAGGACTTTTTTGCGCAAAAGCGCGTCTAGATTGGCATGGATGCTTTTCCGCAAAAAGTGCTTTTGCAGAAAAGTGTCCGTGCCAATCCAGATGCTCTTTTCCGAAAATGCTTTTAACAGAAAACTTTTCCGTTAAAAGCATTTCCGGAAAATCGTGCCAGTGTAGACGTAGCCCTGCAGTCAATTTTTCCGGAAAATCATGCCAGTGTAGATGTAGCCCTGCAGTCAATGAATTGCTGTTGTGCTACTTTAATATGCGTCCCCCCCAGGTCAGGGAGGAGGAAGGAGAAGAGTGATGGACTGAGAGGAGGAAGTGTGTTGCTGAGAGCTGAGAAAGGAAAGATTCGCTCAGGTACAAGGGAGAAGTATTAGGGGAGTGTTTGGGGAAGTGGCCCAGGGAAAAGTCTGCTGTATTGGGGCTAGAGGGAAACATCCTGACAGTTGCTGCTATCTAGAGTCCCTGGGCCAGAACCCAGAGTAGTGCGCATGCCTGGGATCCCCCCAATCTTCCCCACCCCACTAAAAAGTCCGAGCCTGGAAAAAGGAGGCTCAGGATTAAG